CATCTTCTCGCAATAGAATGGCAAAAATCAGTGAAGACGAAATAGCAGTCATCAATTGTTTCAATAGAGTCGAAGACACTGTGCCATTCTATTGCGAGAAGATGTCGATTTATGGATTCATAGTCCCCTTTGGCAAAATCGGCAGTTCGCCCTTTCCGTGACTTTAGATTTAGACATATCTACAGACAAAGTAAAGACGACCGTAACGTGATCTGACGTAGAGAAAGGAGTCTGGCACGATATGCTATCAATGAAGGACGGCCTATTTGTAAGAACGAGGTCTAAAATGTTCCTCCCGTGAGTGGGCTGCAACACTAATTGACTAAAATTATAAGACTCAACGAAGCTTTTGAAAAGGGAACTTTGCCTACTTATCGAATTGAACTTATGACTGCAAGAAGCTAATGCCCAAGGGATATCGGGGAGGTTGAAGTCACCCAGTAGAATAACAGGTAAACGGTTCTCACACAACTCTTCGAGATAGGAAAGAAACTTTTGAAAATCGTCACTCGCACATGATGGACTACGGTAGCAAAGAACAAAAATGAAGTCACTGTCAAGGAAGGAAACTCGCACGCTGAGACATTGCACGAAGGGAGAGAAATTGAGAGATGACATGAGATAAGAAGAGATGTTCTTCCTAATAATAGCTGCTACACCGCCGCCTGGGATATCTCCGTCTCTATCACAGCGATACACAAGATAGGGATAGTCAGCTGACAGCGTGCTACTGTTGATCTTATCAGGCTTGCACCATGTCTCCGTTAAGAAAACGCCACAGGGATTCTGAGATAGAAGGTGGTAAAGATCAGGGAGCTTGTTGTTTATGGAGCGCGCATTGAGAAGAAGAAACGTATCAGTAGGACTACTATGTTGAGCGACGTGACCCACTCTCTCTGGTTGAATGGCCTGGCCCTAGGCGTAGAGACTTGAATTGCCAGAAGTGCCCACCATAGATGTATTAAAAGACCCCACGGGTGTACCAGAGGAGTTCCGCAATGCTCCCGGGGTATTCGCTGAAGAGCGGGTAGGAAGCTCCCTAGCAGTCTTTAATTTATGTATCTGGAGATCCCGTACCACATATTGAAGCTTCCCCAGACCCGCATTGGACTGACCTGCTTGTCTGCGTAGAGCGCGATCCAGCTCCAACTCTTCGACTGTGTAATCCCTACGAGCGTAGGAATGTACGAAACGCCTTGTCAGGCTTTGACGTCCTGACCTCATATGACGAAGTAGTCTATCTTTAGAGCCTGGTTAGGCAGCTCTATCTTAATAATGCGATCGCGGCCGTTGTGGTTCTTCGGTCTCACAGGCGGGTGACGACGGGCAGTTATAGTTCCCTTGGAGAATTCCTTTATCAGCTCCTCATCTCCAGAAGAATGAACCGCTTCTTTCAAGGCTTCCATATCGAATTTCCTCGTAGCGAGCTCGTCATCTTGTTCTCCAATGCCCACCCAAGTGATGCGCCTCAGCTTATCATCAATTTTGCTACCATCCGCTTTCACCTTGACTATCGTAGAGTAGAGCAGGTTTGGATCCACAGAATTGGAAGTGTGCAGACGGGAGACGCAAGCCTCTAAAGCAGCGAGCGAGATAATACTTCATTTTGACGTGAGCTCAACTCTTCAAACCTTATCGATAAGCCTGGTAAAGGAAGACATAAGTGCCTTTTCGATTCGATCAGCGCATGCGGAATACTGTTCCAGCATCATTGACGCCCAAAGAGGAAGCTCCTTCTCCTGATCTCTATCAGATGATTTGCGCTGTGATCCACGAGCCATGCCCAAATCGATGAGACCACCAACGAAAGGAATCACCTATGTCCAGCGAAAGCGCAAAGAAAGAAAACTAAGAATTGACTGGGCAATGGAGCAAGAGCAAGGGAGAAAATAAAGTGTGAGATTCAGTGAGAGTTTTCGGAAGCAAAAGAAGGATGAAAGAAGCTGAATAAATTATGAAAAAATCAAGTAACCGAGAGGAAATAGTTGCGCCGCCGCACGCACCGAGAACAAGTAAGAGTAGGAGGAGTAAGAGTGAGAGTATTTTAACACAATTACTTATGCTTCATAGCGTAAACTATGTCTTTGAGTAACAGCGTGAACGTGAACAGCGTGAACTTCGACAAAACCGTGTTTATTCACCTAAACTGACACGGGTTTTTCGAGATCAAGGGTTTCAGTTTCCATATTCTCGGTATTGTCGGTCGCCAAGGTGACCAACCTTCAAGTACAGGACGCGGGGGACGAGCGCATGCCTTAGTCATTCCGATGAGAGGGCACATCTGAAAGAGTTTTTTAATAATGTCATGAATGGACTCTATAGATGTAAGACTCTCCACGAAATATTCTATAGACGTTCCAGGAAAAGGCTTACTAGGAGAGCGATCATCCATGTCGAGAGGAACACAACCTTCATTGTCCTGAAGGACCTTCTATGAAAAGCTCCTGTAAAACTCTTATGGAATTAAAGTAGAATTGGGAGCAGGAGTGGACACTCCATTACATACGGGGTTCTCATATTCTTTTTTTCCGGGTATGGGTGTGCACGGCAGTCTGTTCAGGTGAAACAGTCACCTACTTCAGAGCATCACTTCGCTTAGACTTAGATAAAAAATCTTCCTCGTCCTTTTTGAAAAATGAAAAAATGTTCGCAATGGTCTCAATAGGTCCCACCAAAATATCCCTTTATGTCATAGCCCACCAGTATTTTTTGGCATTGGCAGTGTTGAAGAGAGATTCGAGCTACGAGTGATGAAAAAGCGAGGAAATGCACAACCGTTTGACCTGTTCCTGACTGCCCTTTATATTCTGCTAAACTCATTCTTATTCTATGTTGTTCTTCATTCTGACGATGAATTTAAAGGTTTCTATAGTAATATGTATGAAATGCATTGTAATGCTTTTTAAAAGGGGGATAATAAAAGCCTCATAATAGATGACACAATATATCCAGTTGAATGTTAATTTAGTGATGAGAATCGTGTATTTCATGCTTTTCAGATGGAAGCGTTGAGATGGTTTTCAAGCATTTATCGCTTCTGTAATCAAGACGATTTCTGAAAAACCAAATAGGAAGCAATACAGCCCTCGGGATCGTGGTGAATCCTCAGTATTGATCCTCATACAGGTTTGGCTTTTGCTGTCCACGATTTGGCTGCTTAACACTATGCGGTAGCGTCCACTAGGGTTCCCAGCGTCCGGCAGCGACAGCGACTGGGTAAGTGTGTATAGATCGAGCGTTTACCAGCATTAGCGTCTGCCAGCTCTCGAGCGTTAAGGAGCCTTTGTATCGAACTGGCGTCTAGAAGTGTTCACTATCGACTGCAGAGAATGGAGAAGTCGGAGGGTAGCAAACTGCTGGATTAGGAGTCGTGAAATCGGCAGAATTATGCAAACTGATGTGAGGTGCAGCGCAATTGTGCGGTGCGGTACACTGCACTTTCCACGACGCCTAATCCGGCCGTTTGCATTCCTCCTTCTTCCCCATACTCTCTGCTTCTTGGTCGCTGGTGAACGCTGGTAAACGCTGGCAGACGCCGGTAGACGCTAGATAGCTATCTATGCTTTCATAGCCCTCGAGACGCTGGCAGACGCTGGCGAACGTTGTCGCAAATGATGAGCGCGCCTTTGCGAGTCTGCGGGATAGGGGAGAGGCGTTTTCACACAGAAGTTTTGATACGTATTGATGGGAAACAGGCGCACGATGCTCGCAGTGACTAGGGAATAGTTTGGGCTAGAAGTGCAGCGTCCCTAGTCAGAGTACAGCACTGTGAGTAGTATGGCGTCATTATGAACATCCCCACCCCCTCCCTTCGTCAACCTGGACGACCCCCATCCCTCTAATTGTTGGCTCTTACGACAACAACTAAACACTAGTGACCTGCAAGCGCTCGCCGCGGTGTTGCGATCCGAGCTCAAAACAGCGCTGGAGCGAATTTCTTGACAAGGATTCGAGGAGCCCACGGCGACATGGTAAAACGATAGCTCAACGGTCTCGCTTTCTCACTACCCACCATCTGTATTTTTTCCTCAGAGAAGTATTTCAAATGGATTTTGAGTGGTAGCTGTGAATCACATTCGTGTTTCTATGCTTCAGACGAGAGTAATTTTTGCGAAATCGAAAACTTCCTCGCAGGGCTTAATAATATTTCTTTTTTTCCAGAGCTCCACAGTATGAAGATCAGCTGGTTGAGAAGATATTTCAGAAAGGTTCTCGGAAGGCAAAGTCCCGAGTAACTGAAAAGCTCGATTCCTTCATCGTCATTGTAACAATGCTATTTCTGAAACCTTAACACACCCCTGAAATTTACCCATTCACCCCTGAAGTGGGAGGAAACATATCTTGATTAACATTGATCGACTTCCTCCGAGCAAGTGCTACGCTACTGCGCAGGGGCGGAAGAAATAGGTAATTTTTACTGTTAAGTAAACTTAATCCATGGGAACGGATGCTCTAATTTGTCTCATAATCTCATGAACATTTTGCAGTTTAGCGGTATTGGTCCCTCGTTACTTAACTTTCAAAGAGCGAGATCGCTCTGTACGTGGAAAAGTTGTCAATTCAGTTTTGCCTTGTCTCCCCCTTTGTCTATATGATATTCATTAGCACATACTAGAGTAATAGAGGGTATCAGCCGCACGAGACTATCCAGCACGATAGTTTCGCCGTGCATAAGCTCGTGCAGAATAAAAAGGTCATTCCGCTTTCTCGTATGAGGGGGTCATAATCGGAAGTTTCTTTCTGCTAGAGGAGCACAATCCTCATTGTCTCCTGAACGGGCTTGTATGAATAGTATCCTGCAAAACTCATATGGAATCAGCAAGAAAAGAACCCACCACGGCATATTTTGGTCCCCTTGTTGTTTTTTTTTGGTATGGATTTGCGCGACAGTTCTGTTAGGTGAGACAATCACTTACATCGGAGCACCCTTCGCTCAGGCATATATAAGAGATCCTTCTTGGCCCTGTTGGAAATTAAAAATTGTTTGCAATTATTTCAATAAGTCCCACAACAAGGCCCCATTAGATGTTACTAGGTAATACCACATAGGATTGGCAGATGTGAGGAGAAATCCGAGCTGCGAGGGACAGAAGAAGCGAAAATCAGCAGAACCGTTTCCTTACTGCTCTTTTATATTCTATTCTATTCATTCTTATTGTATTTTATCCTTTTTTCTGACGACGAGCTCAAGGGTTTCTATTATGATATGCATGGAATGCATTGTAATCCTTTTTCATAAGGATAATAAAAAAACAAAATAATGCTAATAAAATCATAGAAGCCTTAGAATAGAGCATCATAATATAACCAGCCGAATGTTACTGTAGAATGAGAATTGAGTACTTTATCGTTTTCGAATGAAAACGTTCAAAAGCCTCATAAAATCTTCCGCATTCATCGCTGCTGTAACAGAAATGGGTTGATTTTTTACAAAATAGGAAGCAGTTCAGTCTTCGGGAAAATGGTGCATTGTTCCTCATACACATTTGATTGACGCTGTCCGCAGTTTGGCTGCTTAGCACTTTGCAGTAGCACCCACTAGGGTCCCGAGCGTCCGGCAGCGACAGCAACTGCCAGCTCTTGAGGATTAAGGAGGCATGGGTATCGATCTGGAGTCTGAAAGCCTACATTATTGAGTATTGTGCAGAGTATGGGGAAGTCGGAGCTCAGCAAACGGCTGCATGAGGCGTCGTGAAATTGGCAAATAAATATGCAGTTAGATGTAAGGTGCAGTGTAGTTGTGCGGTGCGGTACACCGCGATCTCGACGCCTGAACAGGCTGCTTACATCCCTCCTTCTTGGCTATATAATCTCTACTCCTGGTCGCTGGTAGACGTTGGCAGACGCTAGATCAGCACCTAAGCTTCCCTAGCCTTCGAAACTTGGCAGACGCTAGCGGGCTAGCGGACGCTGCCGCAAATTATGAACGCACCATTTGCGAATCTGCGGGTTAGGGAGGAGGCGTTTTCGTGCAAACGTTTTGATACATTTCGATGGGAAGCAGGCGGACGACGTTCGCAGTGACTCGGGAATAGGCCCGACCAAAAGTGGCATACTCCAAAATAAGTTGAGTTGAGTTTCTGGCCTCTTTGTGTACAGATAATAAACTATTTGTATAATATTCAATAAAAACAATCGGAGCATCACTCCGCTTGGGCTTACAAGGGAGGTCTTTCAGGTCATGGCGCGCTTTTCAGAAATGGTTTGTTGCATGTTGTAGGGGTCCATATAAGGATCACAAAAATGGGTTTCGTTTTTGCTATGCATTTCTGGGAAGGTCAAAAAATGGGTGAAAAGTTTGCTGAGGAAAAGCGATTTTGAACCATTTTTCTAGGCTCTTTTCTATTTCTAATGTCGAGTATGCATAGCAAATGAGACCTTCGTCGACACTGCATCGAAAACAATACAAGTCAAGGAAAAAAGTACTTTATTTGGCACACAGTGAGGCAGCATTGTAGTTTCTCAAGTGATTCTCGCAGCATCCCAACCCGCAGTGGGGGGGGGGTATTCAGAGCCATGTTGGCGCCAAATGGCCTAGGCGCCAATTATA